TTCTTACAGACTTCAGATTTTCAAGTTCTCAGTGTATATCGGTCACCAAGTGGAAAGAGGAATTAAGGTTGTTTATTTGGTAAATATGCTGTGAGAATTCCATGTACACTGCTAGATACATTGTCTGTTTTACATGTAATTGATATCTATTTAATTAGGAAATTGTGAAAAGTGACCCCATAGGGTAATCTAAGCTGGTCATGTGTCCAACGTGTAGTGGTCATTGGGTCCAAATAAATGTTTCTTTAGTTTAAATAATGATGTGGTCACAATACATAAAATGCTACAGTGATTTTAACCGGAATGGGGATCTGTCAGAGAGTCGAGAAGTAAAAACCAGATGACGGAATTAAAACAACAGCAAAATGAATTTAACAATATTATCTTTCGCACTAACTGCAAAATACATACATGTGCTATATAACTGTTATATCGTGTTGGAGTGTTAAAGTTTGTTTATGCTAAGGTTTTGCATGACGAATAATGTCTATGAGATAAACCACTTCGCTTCGCAGTTTGATTTACCGCTATGGAAACCCATATCACTTTGCATTCTGATTTACCGCCATGGGAACTAAATCGATGCGCGGTTTGATTTACCGCTATGGAAACTAGATCACTGCGTGGTTATATATGTATATATCATTATTTTCCGCTATTTGAACTATATCACTTCGCGGTCTGATTTACACCTACTTAAACAATGTCTTAACGCAGTTTTATTTACCACTATGGAAATTAGATTACTAAGCAATCTGATTTACCGCTATACAAGCTAGATCACCACGGAGTCTGACTGACCTTATTGTGGACATATACAGGTTTCTTCACAACTATATTTAGTTTGGTGACTAAGCAATTATAGAAAGTATAGACGACCAACATTTTTTTTATCATTTATTAGACAATTTTTTGTACGACAAAATGCCAGCATTAATGGATTAAGGATAATTGGATAAATGTTTTGATAAAAAAGGACCCCTTCCCCGTTTATTACTTGTAATTACACATACTTTGTAAGAGTTAATGTATTTTGTACGGGCAAGAGTACGCGTGATGTTAGTTGAAGGGATAGGACAGAAAATGGAAATGTCGAGTGTGATTACATCTTGCGAAATGTTTGAACGTACGGAACGCACTTTTGTATGGTCGTTAAAAACATGGTTACGAGCCCGGTCTTAGACAGTTTCCATGATGTATTAGTGCTATCCTATACAGTTATATTAAAGCGTCATAATTTTCTTGTTATTATTTCGACAGAGGGGCGAGAGTATGATGGATCCTCAGCATGAGTACTTCGTGTGTAACACGAGTTCCACTGAAACTTGAACACGGGCCATTCATGGGGTTTATTAACATTATCATGGAAAAACTTATAATATTGAACTTAATCGCCTACATGTAACATCATGTAACACTTGTGTGTTGTTGAATCGAGCACCGTTGGCACTCTTGTCTACAAACATATATCTACACGAAAACGAACAGATATTTAAAGGAGATCTGTGCAGTATTTATTTCGTTTTCGTGATGGTGAAACATAAAGGATTTAAACTGGCTTTGGTAAATATGAACGGCAATTCAGTGCATTTACATAAATACCGTAAATATTCTTTATTCAAACACCATGACGATTCCAACTTAAAAATGTGGAATATGTATTGTATTGAGTGAAATGGTTAAGGCTGTGTCATTAAATGATATTATTATGAATTAAACATTTACCTTATTATTTGTACGAACTCTCGTGGGCAATCTTACATGGTGATAGACTGGATTCTTAAAGAACTACAGGCGATACAGGTAGACATTTTGTAATTGGAACCGATCCCTGTTTCAGTTCCGTATGGCATATTCGTCGAGGCGTGCATGTTTACATGTACACGTAATTAATTACAATGTTCTTGAAATGTCGGTTAAAGAAAACATCGATATTTCCCGAGAAGAATTACGAAAATAACAAACACAAATTAGTACCCGTTAATGTTGTAACTGTATTATTTAATTTAAAAAAAAACACAAATTTACAACAGATAAACCGTTAGTTTGGGATATCACAGAGAAACAGCGACTTTAATGAACTCTGTACCTGCCGGGTTTACCTCAGCCAATCTACTTATCATGTTGGCACGCTTTGTATCAGTGTGAGTTATGCCCGCGTCGTATCTGGGGAGGCGGGGGTGCGGCGGCCCGGGGCCCGGTACGTTATATTGTCATGTGACACGATATACGTGACGTCGTTCTTGTACTGCAGATGGAAACACGTGTCTAAATGTGAATGCTGGATACGCTGATTGTGATTAGCTAAGAGTACATATCTGATCCGTATATATTTTAGTGGAATGGTACATGTATCATGTTAATATTGAAACAATTTTATATTACCTAACTCGTGTATGCAATTTTTTGAGCAACCGTTGTCGCTTTGAAAGACTTATCTCCAATTAATTTTGATAAAATTTTGATTTTATGTGGTTCATGTAATATTATATTTTGAACGAGTTTGTGTTCTAGGTGGCAAGGTCAAGGTCAACGACAAATAATTCTGAAAGTTTTAGAGGAAAACTTTTTTTTTGGTTGCTTCGTTTCTGAACGTATTTTAATAAAACCACAAACAATGGGCAAGGACGAGAATAGAGTATCAAGAATACGTTTGTGTTGGTGTAACAGTCAATGTTACCGTTATTTACCGAAGTACAGAAGTACCGTTGTCATCACTCTCATCGAGGCTTTGTAATATCTTCCGAGGGAAACGATAATGTTTACCTGTAGATCTATTATATAAAATACACAATGGATTCCAATGTCTAAGATTAACGTTTCTAGAGTAATTGCAACAATATTTACTGTTGACAATGCATTATTGTTATAATTTGAAGTTTGATAATATCGAAATTGGCACGAATAGTGTTAACAATATGCACTGGTATAGCGTCATTGTTTAAGCAAGTCTTGTGTGTTATACAAAATAGCATAATGCAAAACCTAAGATTGATACAATTTTTGGAGTTGCAGATGCTCAAGAGGCTATGAGCCCCCTCATCTAGATTCACACGTATCAAGATTATTTTCTTTCATTGCCACTGGAAGTTTCTCTGTCTGTTCAATTTAACTAGCACATTAATACAGATGTTTTAAATAAACATCGCCAAAACGTATTGTCGATTTTATTGCGATTTCGAACATACAATCTTACATCTCAGTGTACACACGCTTTTACCGGTCATTTGTCTGATAAATGTGATAGAGTGCATATCATACTAGTCATTGAGACGTCAAATATAAGCATTTTCCTGGTAAAAATATACGACTCTGCATACTATCCATATTTACCAACCTGAAGAAAATGTTTAGATTTGTGTTGGCTTACAAAAGTCACATGATTCGATCAAGAACTATGGTTGGAATGTGTGTATAGTCCAGTTGGCAGTAGCATTGTTTATGAATACCGAAGAATGCAGTTCGATAAGTCAGAATATTTATATTTGCTCTGCATCCTTCCATTGAAATGCATTTCGAAGGCAAATGTTGTTATTAAACTATAACAACATTTGCTATTGTAACGTCATCAATCTCTATTGTGATTTCATTAATTTTATTGTTGTCAACACTTGATTTGCTGTTCAAAACCTGTTCAAAATAATTAAATCAAGCATAGCTATGGGTGATGAGAGAATTTATTAGACGTGGGAAAATATTTGAAGAGTTAAGGATATTCCATTATAATTGACGCTTGGTTGATTTTTGTCATTTCGTTTCTTTACATTTGCATTTTCAAAAGGTGAATGAACAAAGTTCCCATCTAGAACACGTTAGCAATGAGCGGTATTTGTCGTTACTCTGCCTCATACAACAAGCAAAATAATGACAAATATGTTCGTACGTACATTCTTTGTAATTTTGCAGTTGCCTTTTTAAATTATGCGAAAAAAACCTAATTACAAAAAAAACGTAGAATAAATTTGGTGTAATCAATTAACCATGTTTTCATACTGATGCTCGTACTATTATTCGTACCATTATGCTTAATAATAAAAAAGTCATGTTATGGCAGTAATCGCTAATTAAATGCGTAAATGAAATATCTGATTGTATACATAATTGTACAAGCGCTGGCAGTATGTGACAAACATCCGGGTTCAGATATTATGTAACACTTACGCCGCTGCGGTGGGCGTGGTCAGGCAATTGAACATGCGCATATGGAGCCCTGTTGTTACTAGAGCACGCGACGTCTCCTGGGTATGTGTGTTTCTGACGATCTCCCATGTCCACAGTAGCTCTTGGCCGCTTACCGAACATGACGATTCCACCATTCTCTATTTAAATGACAGCGTCCCCTGTCACCACGCGAGGTTCAATAACAGGTACACATAACTACGAATGATTTCGCGCTCAAATGATGCTAAGATAATTACTGTTATAATATGTGCTTTGTATCGTTTTCAGATGAATGATTCTCTTTTTGAGGTCAGTCAAACATTTCTGTAGCTATAAACGAAATTGCCTAATGGTGTTGTATTGAGACTAACTAATAACCATTTTATAATCCACATCAGCTGTGAGATTGCTATCATTGTGTGCGTGCTTTACCGCTGTTGTATAAGGCCCTATTTCCATCTATTTACTAGTTGGTAAATGGTAATTGTACACGATGGTTTTGTCTTCCTCTACTCACTTGATAATCGAATCATGAATATATACATACGATGTTTTATCTTCATTTTAACTTTCAGGGAAAATTAACTACACATTATCCCTAGGTTCATATTGTATCAGGATTTGAATTGCTCGTTTCAGTCACGACGTATATGTAAACAATTAGCGTTTGCCTATACATATATGTTAGAAACAAATTGACTGAAATATCATCTGTGTCAATGTGTGTACAGCCTATCTAAATGCAATCAAATGACAAATTGACTGTAATATCATCTGTGTTAATGTATGTACATCCTATCTAAATACAATCAAATGACGTCCATTGTTTTTCTTTTCAGATAATCTCTTCTAACTCCACCCATGACTATGATGGTAGGACTGAACATCAGTACGTTGGGAACACAGCCTGTCTGGGAGGTCTTACGTCACGGAGGATTCCAGATTTGATTTAACACGATGAGAGTAGCTGACATAAATATCTGCTTCAGGTGTCACACCACCATCTGTAGTCAAGACTCTGGCGTCCGCTCGAGGTGGACGGATAGTCAGCCATATGTTGTTAGAAATGCACTGGAGTGCTATAGTGGTTGGTACTCTTTATAACTATTCTACGGTCGACCTACACACCTTTACCACAGTTGGAAACGTACCTTTCCCGTCCATTGTGTCGGACTAGTAAAACAACGCTGGACTTGTACACGTGCGGCATCCGACCTGCTGTCGCTGCGCTCGGACACGTATGCCACGTGCTCACTGTGTTAGTAATTATACGGGAAATACTATTTCGAGTTTCTAATTTGGCCCGGAAAGAAAACAGCAGGAAATAATTCAATAAAAACCTGCGAAACATTTATATCGACCTTTACAAGGACACAAGGAAAGATTGTCATCAAAAGTTGCAATAAGGATTACTCAGCTCGTGCTAGGCTCGTGCTAGGAACGCGACGAGAAGACATTTTTTAAATACGCAATTAAGGAAACGAAACAGTTTTATTTTCAAGAAAACGAAGATTGATTTGTTTCCAATGGATAACTATTGAGAACACATAATTTTATTTGGGAAAAGTCATTGTGCACTTTAACAAATCTCATGTGAAATTTATCGAAAAAGAATCCAGAGAGTGATGTGTTTCGGTCGTGATGTCATTCCTCTGCAGGGGCTAGAAGCAAGCGAGCTCAAACAATTGTACAATTGGAAGTCACTGCAAACTCTTTAGGGACTAATTTATTCCCATTTTTACCCCCACAAAATAGGGTTAAGGTATCGAATACTTCCTCGTAAGAGTGAACACTATGCAGGTGTAGTACCCGTTCTAATATACGGAACCAAATCACTGTTAACTGCCACCAGTCGCCAACGTTAACATGCTTATAATGGGTCTCATGCAACAAAATGGGGCGAACGCGTCCATCCTTGGACTGTTCAACAGCGACACATACTCCAGTGTCACATTGTCTACGGTCTCTACCCAGAACGAGACTACGGCGTCTTCAGTGTTTAATTCTACAACATACAATCCGCTAGGTGGCACCAATGGTACAACCGGATTCCAGGGTTTCGGCCCTCAGATTAGGAGTTTAGAACACTTGATAACAACCTCTATTATTCTGGGGCTCATGATTCTCGCCACCATCATCGGTAACGTGTTTGTGATCGCGGCCATCATCCTGGAGAAAAATCTTCATAATGTTGCCAACTATCTCATCCTATCGCTCGCCGTGGCCGACCTGATGGTCGCCACCCTCGTCATGCCCATCAGTGTGGTGAACGAAATCAGTACTGTGTGGTTCCTTAGGCCGGAAATTTGTGATATGTGGATATCGTTCGACGTGCTATGTTGCACTGCTTCCATACTGCACCTGGTGGCCATCTCCGTAGACCGTTACTGGGCCGTTACCAACATTGACTACGTCAGAAATAGGAGCGCGAAGCAGATACTTTCCATGATCGCGCTGTCGTGGATGGTTGGTATGTGTATTTCAATCCCACCCTTGTTTGGATGGAAGGAGCCGGCGAACAGTCCCGTGCTGACGGGCACGTGTCTCATTAGCCAGGACATTGGCTACACTGTCTTTTCCACATTTGGTGCCTTCTATGTTCCCACTCTCATTATGATGATCATTTATGCTAAAATATTCCAAGTCGCCCGACGACGAATTCGGAGGAAAAATTTTCATAAAAAAAGTTTGAAAAAAGCTGAGGCGAAAATCAAATCGGATCACTCATCAAAGAGCAAGTTGCTCTTTAATTCGCCCAAAAGCAATGGTCACAACAGCGCTGATAATACGGAGATAACTGTGAACGAAACATCCTGCAACGGTAATGAAAATTACAATGATAAGAATGAAAACTCAAAAGTAGACACGAATGGATTCGATGACGCAAAAACTGCAATGATTCCGAAAGCAGTAAACAAAGAGCAGGACAAAGCAAAGAAACAAAAAGAAAAGTTAGAGATGAAAAGAGAACGGAAAGCTGCTAGAACGCTAGGCATCATTACGGGGGCATTCATTATTTGCTGGTTGCCATTTTTCATCATTGCTCTCACTGCTCCCCTGGTCGGCAAGGCCGCTGAAGAGATTCCCGAGGAACTTATAAGTTTTGTACTTTGGCTCGGGTATGCCAACAGTTTGTTGAACCCGATACTTTATACAATATTCAGCCCGGATTTCCGTAATGCCTTCCAGAAAATTCTGTTCGGAAAATACTCAAAAAAATATCGGAGATGAAATTTTCCAAACGGGAAAGGCATCATTATCGTCAATGCTGTTCACTGAAAGCATGATGGCATTTAAAACTGTGTCGAGCTGACCTTAAGTTAAGTGTTTGGTCGGATTATGCAGAGTGCTGGAACATGGATGCGTTTTCGGTTAAGTTACTGGTTCAAAGTGTATGTGATATGAGTAATATAAGATACGACATTATGAATAGTAGACCTGATCATCTTACAGCGTATTCCGTCTTTGCATATTGCAGAGTTATCTTCTCTTGGGAGCAGGTATTGATTGTTACGTCACTTGTTTGTGAGAATAACGTCATCAATTTTTGAGAAAACGACGTAATTTTCTCCCACAAACCAATGACGTAACAATCAATACCTGCTACCAAGAGAAGATAACTCTGCAATACGCAAAGACGGAATACAAGTCTATAAAATATAAAACATTGGTAAGATAACATATATATATGTAAATATATATAACATGCAATATTTGATGTATTTTATCACAGAGTAAGTCTCACCCTTGCAAATTGACACGTGGGTTATCTCCCTTGTGTAATTACAGTGCTATATATACGACTGTGTTGCTGTATACATCGCCTTATTGAGTTCGAAATGTCATCGGCATTTTCCACGAGACTGACACTTGTCGAGTATCTGCAATGGTTGGTCATGGAAGTGCGATCCTTTAGAATTGTGTTGTTTTAGGTATACTGATATCTAAACAATTTCACATGGTGTTAAGTTCGTATGATCTTCCAAAACTGTACAATGGAGCTGTACACTGAAACTGACCTATCACAATTACCTGAAGCTAAGTTCTGATATTGTACACAAAGACGGATTTGTGTGGGTTAAGTTATGCTACGTCCTTAAAATAAATAGTATCACTGATTTATCATCATAAAGTACAGCTTTGTCCTGAACCTTGACACAGAATCAGATTTATCTATGTTAGGTTGCATTACATCCTGAAAATTTACGCTAAAACCGATTCGCTTGGATTAAGTTAAGCTATTCCTGACTTGCTTTGACAATGTAACGTCATGCAAATGTCAACAACAGGCATTTGTTTGGACTAAGTTATGCCCTGAAAAGGTATACTAAAATCAAGCTAAGACCCGTGAATTTAAAATAAATGTCTTATTTACATTGTGACTACTTTACTTCCTAAAACTATGTACTTAAATTTAAAGGCTTGGGTAGGTAACGAACTGAAACTGCAATCAAGTTTCGTAAACCAAAATTCGTCCAGAAATTGTCACTTTAACATATTTATTTGGACTAATCCTACCTGAGTCTGATAGGATGATATATAAGCTGTACGTAACAGTAGCTTGAACAGGTTATTTCTTTTGAATGCAAAATATATCAGAAAACTGAAAACAACTCAATCTTTAATTAATTTCATGACCAGATATTAATATGTGATATCTCTTATTATTTGAAAAACGATATTCTGATGTTTTTTTTAATTCTGTATGCTGTCATTCTCACTGGCATGGTTTAGTTAGGTTTGATATAAACCAGTTGGTAAAGGGGCCAAACCTTAGTTATTTTTAAGCGACAGATATCGTTTGCATTTGTCAAAAAACGGCATGATGAACTATTTCGTAAATATAGTTGTATCAAACACAAACAGATAAAATGGTTATTTTTCTCGTTTTTTAACAAAAGAAAATCAAACATTTACTCATCGGTTTCACGTGCCAGGTTTATTATTTTTTTACAGGAAATGAATATTGTTTTTTTTTTTTTTTTTTTTTTTTTAGAAAAAAAAATTTTTTTTTTTTTTTTTTTTTTTTTTTTTAAATAACAAAGTCGATTTAAGTCGACAATCGTGCCAAATAAGATTGCCCTGTTGTATCTGCTAGTATCCAATACACACATTTGTATCCCTGTGTTGTGATGTCGATGTTTTTTTTTACATGAATGTCTTCATCGTTAGAGTAGTTATTCAAAGCTATTGGTGATCACATAGTGATCAGTTACCGCTAAACCTGTGCAATATTCTTTTGTATTACGTATGACATTACCTTGTATTTTCCGAAAAAAACACCAATGCCTTTAGATTAAGCAGACAAATTGAAAATGCTTATTTTTCGCATCCGTATTATAATCTTCACTAAGCGTATAAACAGTAGGCCCCGATTTCAGGTTAATAAACATATTATATAAGCCGTTGTTGTTAACACTATCGTTATGTTTGATGCAAATATAGGTTGTTTCATTGAGTATTTTGATAAATAAATCTGATGCAAATTTTCTGTCCTTGCAACGTGACATCCCGTTAAGAGCAATACTTTTTACGTAGTTGATTGTCGCCTTATTAATCAGTAAGACATTTGTGTGACTGTGTTATAAACCCTAACCATCATATACAGGTGTGAACATGTCGTAACCCCTAACAATCGGTAACTCATTTACACCTCACACACTCTGCTATTGTCTGGTTTACCCTATTGGCCACCCCTAAAGCACCTCATTAATATATAAAATTATATATAGTTCGCCATTTTAATGGCAAAGCATATATATGTTCTTGTAATTTTATCACGGAGAACTTTTTTCGAACTAATTATTATTCTGTAATAAAAAATCAGTAGGCGATGAAACCGGAAGTGGGATATTTACCGGCAGGCTCCGACAGACGTGGTCACTTAGTAGTTATACCAATCCATTTTGGGACTTGTGCTAAAGTTTTATAGCAATACTGTAGTACTTAGCGAGTCAGGCAGGGTTTGTTGTAAAGTGATTGCCATACATTGTCTTTGGTGTTATTATGTAGGCAATGTCGTGTATTTAACTTCCAGGCCTGTTATCCTGGGAAATGAACCATCTGGTAGATCCCCGTCGTCAGTATGATCAGTGTCGCACATGTAACCTAATTAGATGTCCATATCGTGACGATGACCAGCAACACTTGTCTGACCCGAGTAATGACACGATTATTGTTCACATACATAGACATCAAAGGGAGTGTGCTACACTACATAACCATCAATACTTTCATAACACCAAGCGCCACCAATTGACCATTTCTTCTCCTTCGGTGTAAGAATAAACAAGTCAGAATATTTTCCCATGGCGACACCCGATCAGATCATTTAATCATCTCACTAGTCGTCAATACTGTAAAAAAAAAAAAAAACACACAAATGTCACTTTTAAAAGTTAACTTATATTATTAACGTTACATTAATTGTAAAACTAGGGTAAGTTGATTTATACTAGAAAAACTATGAGTAGAGTGACATATGTAAAGACATACAGTCCGATCCCTTAATGTCTTTCTGTGATAAGGTCCGTGTTATACATAACTCAAACAGATCCATCATGTCAGGTTTTCCGGGAGATTTGCTGTGTCTCGTTAGGAATGCTCCGAGTAAATGTCATCTCATTTCACCCCGTGAACATCTCTGACATTCAAAATAGATTCTGTAATATCATGGAAGATTACCTTAGATAACTTTCTTCAGAAATTTTACAGGTTTTTCCGGTAGGTCGTTATGTCTGACTTGGTCATAATGAAACAATCTAATGCCACCAGTATACGTCATTGTACTCTAATGACAAGTTATATTCAGTCTCATAAGTCATTTCAGTGTAACGATTTAACGTCTATGGATGATGAAAATAAATCAATTATTAATCAGATTTTAATATGCCCCTGGTCCATTTCTCACATAAAAGCAATGCACCTGACAAAAGAGCTAGTTTCTGCCTGTGTGTGTTTATTACTGTATTAAGACCAGGTGACGTTTGTATAGCGGTCACATAAGAAAAAGCTGTGAACGTGCAGTTTTGTGATAACTTTTACGCATCTCATTTATTGTTCTGGATGTGTTATAGAAGACACCGTATACTTCTTTTGACATATTACAATAGCAATTTGATACCGCCCAGCCGAGTAAAGGACCTTTTGCGAACAAAAGTTACTACTTTAAATTTACGATAATTAACTGTTTAATCTTCAGTAGTAACTTTCTAGCCTCTCTTATTTATGGAAGTTCACATAGTTTATATGTTGTTCCAGAACATGTTTTAAGTCTTGCATTGCATATGCATCAGATTAACTCAGAAACTGAGTAACTAGGGTTCTATGCCAGGGATCGAAGGAAAACAAGGCTATGATGAAAACACAACTTAATATACTTTAGAAAAATTCAGTGTGTGCCATAAACTCAATACACGTTCACGTGGTTTAACTTGTTAACAACGGATATGTTCTTCTCGATTTGTCATGTGACACCAGAATAGGTGTAACAAATTATATCATGTCATACCGTTGGAACCGACGTATAACATGGTGGTGGCGGTGGGATAATTGCTTCTTTGATGCTTTTTTCATTTTCAGTGTCGTATACTGACTCAAAGAAAAAGAAAACAAATCCTTTACAATCTACACTCTATTATAGGACAACGGAGAAAGCAAAAGTAAGCAGTGTACCATATAGTCACATGATCAGCTGACAAGGTGGGTCATCAACACTGTCACGAAAAGGAATCAGGGGAAACACGAAATATGAAAACGCCATTTTAGAAATTTAGAAAAAGAAACAATTTAATCTGTCGAATCCCCACCTAAGGATGTAAATTGACAGTAAACATCATTTTCATAGTTTGTGTCATGATGTCATTATAATAAATTGTCATCTTATGATGGCCTTATTCAATTCTATATCTGCGTTGAGTTTTATGTGGAGTAGGCATAAATGCATACTACACATTCTGGTCATTGGTCACCTGGGACGTCTTGGTGAATATAAAGACATGTTTCTTAATTAGTTCCAATATGTATTAAAGTAATGAGACAGTAAAAGACTACAGACCTATCGTAGTGTTTCCGCCAAAGATACATGCCCTATTGCACCAAAGGAAACTTAATAATGTATTATGAATGCATTTCGTCGGGCTCACAAAAGCACTGCGCTAATGTTACTGAAATACCACAACAATCTCTGTGTTAGCGAAGGCCAAAATATCCTTCTTATGATGGCACTTTTTATGTCAGAGTGACAATAACTGTGTAGAAAAGTATAGGATGGATCTTAGGTTATTGTCTTCGTGTCAATAACACCCAACGCCTATTAGTGTTCACATGATGTATGATGTCATTGTTTTGTTTATGTTGTCCATGCAATTACAATTTTTGACTTATACGACTAATATTTAAGACAAATTATTTATGAGTTAGAATAATGAT